AGTTGGTTAGAACGCTGCACCGGAATCGCAGGGCCGTAGGTTCATTTCCTACCAGAGGACCTTGTGCTGCATTTTCCGCAGTCGTTCCTGGTTAGGTCTTAAAATGTATATATTCTCACTTAGATTACAAACCCTAACATTCTAATATTAATTCCAACAAGTGACGTGCAAGAATCCAAATTATTGAAGTCCACATTATCACAACCTGCACACCCGATTACCTAAATATACATGAACTTACGGTTTAAGCTCAACAGCTGGCCTCTGTAGCTCAGTTGGTTAGAGCGCTGCACCGGAATCGCAGGGCCGTAGGTTCAATTCCTACCAGGGGACCTTGTGCTGCATTTTTCGCAGGCGGTCCTGGTTAGGTCTTAAAATGTATATATTCTCACTTGGATTACAAACCCTAACATTCTAATATTAATTCCACCAAGTGAAGAAGTGAACAAAACACTTTTATATGCAACTTTTACAATCACTGATAAATTGATAATAATTTAAACCGGTCAAGTTGTAGTTTAAATAGAAAATAATACATGGGTGCACGAAATACTAGATTAATTTCGAGTGTTGAACATGAGTGTGCAGCGAACAAGTGAGCGCAGCGAACGAGTGAGATGTCATGTTCAACACGAAAAATAAATCTGGTATTTCCAACACCCCAAGTATTTTTCTGTTTATTATATAAAGAACAGTCTTAAATGAAAAGCGATAATTTTTACAGAAAAGCGATAATTGAAAAGGCAATAAATTGCACATGTGAGATTATCATGAATAATTTCACATGTGAGATTATCATTTTTATCAGTGCTCGAAATCTCTGTAAAACACTATACTTTATATAATAAAAATTCATAAATTTGAACCATGCTAGAGCATGACAACAGCAAAATGCTCTATAGTATGATGCACAATATTTTGGGAGGTGAGATGTACACGAACAATAAATCAGAGAGTGTTTGCTTGGAACTCACTGGGGGGGGGGGGTGGTGCAACACCCCTGATAATTGCTCATGAGGAATTTCAGGTAGATTTCCAGTGCACTTTTGGTAAATTTAAGTAGATTTGCAGAAGATTTTCAGGGGAATTCAGGTAATTCTCAGGACATGAGAAAGTGAATTTGGAAAACAACTGTATTTTCGGAAAAATTATTATATGTCCTGAAAATTTTTTGTACATCTGGAAACGTTTTGGTAACCCCCCCCCCCCCTCTATCTAACACACACACCCCCTGTGTCGAAGTGCTCGCAACGGCACTGAGTATATATCTTTTGAAAGCAGGCGAGGGGTTATTGCATGCATGTATTTCTAGTATATATAGTATATTCGCTATTCAAGTTTCCTAAACGCCACGATTTTTACTATTACATTGTATCTCTCTCTTCCGCAGAGCCCCCTTAAGTATTTACAAATAACTTACATGAAGTTTCCCGAATAAAAGTGAGCGCGCGCGGTGTGATGGGAAGATTGAAATGAAGTTTGGAAGGCTCTGCCTGATAATGCAACGAAGTATGATTTTTAAACCAAACTAGCCGTTTGACCTTTTTTTAAACTTGAAATCGACGGAAATGTGGAAAAAATTGAAATTAATCTTCATACTCTTAGTATCGAAGTTCATTAGAGCCGTTTTAATAAAGAAATGTTGCAATTTAGAGGATATTTATAATTAGACATCTCATATCCATTTATATTCAGTTGCAATTTCTCAATATTCTTCGGTTTTCTGTGCAAATGGACAGAACAAGATATTGATATTGGATTCATTCCAGGAGACTCAAGTACGCCTGAAAAGGAAAGTCGAAAACATGTTCTAACATCCTCGAAGGTTGATCGAACCAAACTCCAAACGATTATATACGACGCCATGTTGATCAGTGCATTAACTAGCAGAGACTTCCTTTATTTAGCTCTTCCCAACACTCCTTGCGTGGTTTACTTTTTCCTCACTAGAAACTTCATGTAAGCATCTGTGGAGGAGAGAGACATTGTATGGAAAGGTTTTGCTTTCACCGCAATGGTAAATATATTTTTTATAAGTAAGTGTCTGATTGATTGATCTCTTGGTTGGTTGATTGAACACGTCAACTGAACAATTAATTGATTGATTTAATTATTTAATTGTTTTCCGTTTACTGCTCAGTAAACTTAACTCATTTATTGAATATTGTTTCGAAAGTTCTGCAGTAATTGGCTGTTGCTGATGCGGAAATCCTGCTTTATTTATATTATATTTAAGTAATTTGATAGGATTTTAAATATTGTTACCAAGGCAAAGTTAGATAAATTAGTTAATTTGATCTCGTCTCTCGTTAGTGCCACACAGTTAGCATGTGTTCACTATCTGACAATTCGTTCTTGTCGAAATGGGCAGGACATTTTTTTAGGACGAACCCTACCATACATTTGTCGCATTGTGTTGCACTTTCTCATTGGGTCATGTCAATTTATATTCGTCCTTATTTTTAATTCTCAACAGACAACACAAGCCCGCAGTTAGAGTGGCCATTAAAGCAACAAAACTGTTCTTTGACGGCATTCGAAAGGATGTTGGTGATGAAAGGTTTGCTAAGTATTTAAACATGGAAGTACGTCAAACACTTTCGTTTGCCATTGATACAACTGGCAGCATGAGCGGTAGGTCTTAATTTGTCTCTTCTTTCCGCAATATTATCCATAATTCTCTTTCATCTGATATTTATCAAACTCTCTTCAATATACTCAATCTCTCTCTTTTGGTGGCGCAAAGCCTCTTTCAGCATTGATATATACAGCTTACAGGAAAAAATCCATAGCTTGCTAAATATTCGAATTTTATACTCAGGGCGTTTTGAGCACTTAATGATATAAAAGTCAAATGTGCATTTTTTCGTAAGTTCGTTCCACTGGGAGGCAATTTCTAACATCAGTGGAATATTTAGAATTCGGTTTTGACAATGTCACTGCTGCATAGCAACATGGCGAAAGTGTATAAAAACTGTTTATTTTAGCTACAAAATTGTCTTTATCTGGGAAATGAAGTCGGTGAACTATTTCTTTTCCGTTTCATATATCAATAGAGAATGATCTTCTGCAAGCATTGAAAAATTTAATAAAATTATTTGCAGTGCATTTTTTTAAATACAAGATTTAATAAAATTAAAATTTATTGTCAAAATTTTAAGATATCTTGCGAAGTTCCCCTTATCTATAAAAGCGTCGCCGACTAGGGAAAGATTGTATGCGGGTGTAAAAGGAGCTTTCATCCCGCTAAATCGAGTGGCAATGTTATTTTACTTTGTGATTTTGTCAATTTTTGATTTATTTACAAAGTCGCCGGTATATCGATAATTGGGGGGGGGGGGACAGATATTCATATATTCGTGTTCTGCCCATTTAGCTAATTAATTTACAGGGTGTATCAAAAAAACCGCAACCTCGGAATTTCCCTAGAAATCGACATTGTTTTAAAGACAAGAGATTTTAGGCGCCAGGGAATTTAAAATAGCACAACTGTCAAAATTACTGCACACGCGAGTGCATAAAGCAAAATTTATGCATGTATTTAGTGCACAACAACAGTAATATGATCTATCAGCAATTCGATTTCAATTCCCAGGGGTTTAAAATCTTTTATGCTTACGAATTGCAAAGTGATTTCTTAGGAAATTTCGGTGTCACAGGAGATTCGCCCCCCAGGAGATTCGCCCCCCCTCTCAAAAGGGGGGCGATATTCCTAGGATATTCGCCCCCCGGGGCGAATCTCCTAGG